GCATCTTCTTAGCGGCACTAGTATGGAGAATTTGTAAAGGGTAAAAATGCCAATGGTAATGGGGCCCGAGGAAGTAATGCAGAGATGATACCGCGCACTTATTCGCCTAAATACGGGATGCGTAATGCTGAGGAATCACGTTAAGTGAAGGCTTACACAAAATTGATTTTTTACCTCTCCCCCAACAGCCCAGGCGACGACAATACTGGCATCTCGGCACCTGGCATAAGGCATGTTAGCTGTGTCCATGCAGTCCCTGCCTTGATCATAATCATTTTCAGTAAAGTTCCCTTCACATTCGTAAAGAATAAGATGATGAACAAAACCTTCATTGCCTTTCTGTACAAGTGGTTCGACCTACAAAACAGAAGGAAGTTAAGAGTTGCAGACTGTTTTATGATTATGACAAGCACGAGGGGATAGAAAAGTCTTCATCCTATACGTTAAAATAGTCAAGCACATCTCCAGTCTTAGTCATGATTTATTTATAGAAAATCAACAAATGAAATGACGCACAAGAACCACCCAGGCAAGGAAGAAAACAAATGACAACCGGACTGATTGGTGTATAATTAAGGAAGTAATGCGGTAAGTCAGTCCAAACTGACCGAACGATTTGTAATTAAGAGCATGCTTATGCTTGGATTGCACGACACCAAGAGGAAATAATGGGAAAGAGACTGAAAATTGGGGCGTTGGCCAGGATATGTCGATTTCACTAAGATCAGGTAGTTACTGACTTTCATGCGGATGTCACGAAACTTACTTACTTCCTTTTGAGAGACTATCTATAAATAACTGGCATTAGAGTATCCTTCTCTGTTCCATTTTTTTTATCTCGACGACACCAATTTCTGGACTAATTGGCTGAATGAATAATGAGATAACCCTGCAAAATTCTTTAGTCGTGTGTTTACAGGTGGTTTCAGTTGCATTATTCACATATGTTTGGTAGCCATGATGTGTTAATTTCTTTTATTTTCACTTTCGAGCTGAAGTTGAAGAGTATTAAAATGTAACTTTATTTTCACTGGACATTAAATGTCCGAATTTATCCGGGTAATTACAAGTGCTAATACCTTTGTGATGTGATGTTTGGATTGCAGTTCGGGAGCTTTGATCAGAGCGCACCAGTAAGTTGTTTCCTTGGCAGGGATTGTTACCTTCAAAGCAAATCAGAAAGTTCGATTTAAAATACTAAAACATGAAAACTTTAGCCTAAGCTCAGTGTTAGTGGTCAAAAAAGTTCTCAAACCAATCGGTGTAAAAATGTCTTTGAAGAAATGATCCTCGTTGCGATTAAAGAAACTTAAGTATTAGAGTTCCACAGTAACTAGTTTGGCATTTCTACCGACTTAGTTACCAAGCCATATGTGCATGTTGAAGAAGAAGTAAATAACTGATCCTCGTAAATGAGCAACAATTAACGAAATTTCATAATTACAGGCTTCGACGGCATGCTAGACGGTATTAACAATAACTGAATAGTTCTTACGTTCTTAGTAGTTATAGGAAAAGAGAGCCAGCCAGTTTCGTTGATGTTTCTTTTATCCATGCTGTTAAGAAGCATAAGTGTCCTGCTTCCCCTGAACGTGTGATACTTTATCTTCGATTCTGAGGCCGGGTCATCGTCATGATATGCGAACACAACTTTGGTAGCTCCAGCCTGTGAACATACACAGACCGGTGATCAGAGAAATAAAGTTTGCTAGCTTGCAAGATGCTATCTCGTAATATCGATGTGATGATTAAACATGTCCTTAAAGCTTATAGATGTAAACTTCGTGACTTACTGTCTCCTTTTAGCTGCACCAGCGACAAATTCATGATCAAGCTTAGTTTCCTGTAAAACTGAGCTGTTTGATCTGAGTTCGAGATCACATTTCATGAATTGGCAATGCTACCTAACTATTATCTTAGACAAAAAACTTGGGAGACAGAAACAACTTCTACTTAGCCGATAACACAAGCTCTATCCAGAAATTAGGCGAGCATTTAACATTTATATTTCCATTTTGGTCTTCTTCACAACAGTATTTTTGTTATGGTAGTCAGATATACTTAACTCTTTTCCATTCCGGAACAAAAGCGAAAAAATTAACCACATTACATTCTCAATTTTTTGTTTCTAAATCTTACTTTGTATCTACAGCATGAATGAATTTTAATTGTCCAGTGGTAAAATAACGGGAGATCCTCCTTCCTAACCCTGACTTCATGTATTTATTTATTTATTTTTTTGAGCGAGTTGCAGGATTTTTTTGGTTTATCTTGTTTAAGGCCCAGACTCAGCAGTTCAGTTTTTACTATGTGTGGGCTTGGGAATACCAAATCCGAAAAGGGAAAAAAAGGAGGGAGGGGGAGGGGAAATAGAAAGAAAAATAGATGAATTACCTTTTGTCTCGATTGGGTTCTTTGCTCGTGTAATATAAACCTGTTTTTGTCGTATTGCTTGATGAATAACATATCTAGGCGATACGCCTTCAAAACTGTCAATCTTAATAACGCGTTCCCTTATGTCGTAACGACATGGTACAAAATCCAAACACTTACCTCAAGCTTCCTGTCGCGCGAATCACATGTGTCAAACTCTCGTTTAAACTTAAGCACAGTTTTTCCTCCACTCTCTTCAAATCCTATCAGTTTGTAGTCCTGCTGTTCATCGACTGGTGGAAGTTTTTCCTCATCTGCAAAACGATCCTGTAACGGAATAAAAGATTAGTACAGAGGGACCCGCTTATTCAAACCTCCCTCTTGTTGTATATTGCGTTACATAAGGTCTGTACTGGAAGGAACTTCCAATCGCGCCGTAAATTTACTCTCCTATGTGAAAGTAAAATAACTGATTACGAGTGTCGTACGTTATATATATTATCCTGATGATTGAATAAAAGACAGTTCATATAGAGGAATGAGAGTGTTCACTTGACCTACGAGTAATCTACACCCCTAGCAGCTTGGTAAAAACGTCGGTCGATAAACTTCAAAGTGTCAAACATGGTTGATTGACACGTCCCAAACTGATCTCTCATTAAAAAGACTAAATGAGTGGAAATGACTGTTGAATTTGCAAGAACGGTAAAAGTATGATCACTTATTAATAGAATAAGACAGATGGTAAGTTTGATCCCTGCAGAGAAATATAGAGATGATGATTTTCGTCTTGTCACGAGCGTTGGACAAAGGAAAAGTTCCCATGAGAAATCGAACCTCAGATCTTCGGATTCCGCGCTCCGATGTTCTATCACTGAGCCACGAGGGTCTATTACGAATTTCACAAACGTCCTGCATACTGCAGGATCAGCAATGTCACGCTCGTGGCAAGACGAAAAACATCTTTCCCTATTTCTTTACCGGGCTCAAAACTCTCTTATTCTATTTACAAACATCACGCTATTGACATTGCTGATCCTGATCGAAATGAAATGAAATACTACGCGCAGATTTAGTGGGAGCTTTACATAACAGTAGAAGTCACAAATCCAAACATGCTCCGTTCCCTTAGTCCGAAATGAGACAAGTAGATTTACATCCTTACCCGAAGATATCCCTCGTTATTCTTCACCCAGCCTATAACAACATCGCTTCCGATCATAGCTCCAGAGCGGCCGGAGAATCCAAATCCTACCCACCCAGTGGTTGCTGCCTCCACAGCGAAATAAACCATTTTTGCGTCCCAATCAACGGTCCAGTATAGTTTCATTTTTTCTGCTGGGTCCAGGACGGCATGATGAGCAAACTCCGAAGACAGATCAGCGATTGCGACCGAATAGATTGAAACGAAGCACAGGAAAAGAACCAGTGGACTCGCCATCTTCGGTAACGTTGTTTGTTCCAGTGTGTGACCAACACCTATTTTCCTTTGTGTACCCACATGTAGCCCAAGCTCCAGCTGTGAGATGAATCATCTTACGTAATAAGCGTCATGGCGGAAATATGAGTTTATATGGGAATATTTACGATCGTTCTTAGGAAGTAAAAATTCAGTCAAATTTTCTATGAAAAATATCTCACCTTACTACCAAAGTGAATTTCTTGTTGTCTGACCGCTTACTTTGTTTAAAAGAGGCCATTACAGCGAGTTATTTCGTCCAAAAGTAATTTCGTAAAAAGACGCTTCAAACGGCCCATGAAGGCTAAAAAATTTCCACAAATGAGTTGATTAACATTTATTTAAGTTAATTGAGATATTAAGACCAAAATATAATCTAGATATGCAATTTTCAGAGCTTTCTTCATAACCCTCATACATTTTGTTCGTCTCATGTCAACAGTTATTAACCACGAACACGTAGTGTGGTCTACCTGTGCCAATTCATCAAACAATTCAATCCAGTTTCCGGAAAACTGAACTGATGGTTAAAATTGTTTCTCTTCTATATTTTCAGGATTTCTTATTCGAAGACTTAAATTAGCGAGGTGAAGACAGTCTTTAAATTCCGCAAATTTGAAGCTGCAAATGTTTCACGGTTCACGCTTGCGAACAAGAAAACATCGTTTTTATTATCAAGTTGAATGTATCAATCCAGCAATCCCTTAATTAGATCCGAATCCGACCAAAATGTTCCAACGATTTTTTCTTTCGTAAACAGTTTATGACAAGAATGGCTTAAACTTGGGAGTTTGAATTTAATTCATCCAACTTCATAAAAACGAACGATCGTAGGGACTATAAAGTGTTATAACAGCGTAATGCATAGCTCGTTGTTTTGAAGCCAAAATAGCCAGATCTTATTTATTAGAATTAAGGCTGATATCATCCGGAGCAAAATGAAGAGACACCCGAGGATTTCACGAAATATGAACTCCTTAGTTGTTTTAGAAATCAGCTTGCCCGCTGTCTATTAATTATTAACATCATATGCTTCATTAAGTAGAAAAAGAATATTTTCATGGAGATTTTTCAAGAGAAGAGCGGTAATAATTAATTACTTTTGGTTGCTTTTCCTCAGCCTTCTACGTCAACGCATTCAAAACTGTCAGCCGCTATTTCGCGCGCCATGGTTTTCGTTACATCTATGATGTTTCTTGCTTTTCACATGATTTTTGCCGAGGAAAAGCATGTTGGTTATCCATGCCCTACAGCCGATGTTACTATTGGAAAATTTAAAGCCATTCCTTTCCACTACTTATGGGCAGAGAAAGTGACATCGTCCGTGGTAAATGATGAACTGGAGTGCACTTTCCTTTGTATTGGTGAACTAAAGTGTTATTCGTTTAATATAGCTGTGTATCCTGACTCTGACGGTCTTTATCTCTGTGAGTTGTTGGCCACAGATAAGTACAGAGAAACTGAGAAATTTTCCGTCAACTCTACCTTTCATTACTATTTCCCAAGGGTAAGTTCGATATTTTGTCGCATCTGGATGTTTTACCCCCACTTCTGGATTTCTTTCATTGTTTTGTAACTACCCCAAAGTTCAAGTTTCGAGCGTTAGCCTTCGTTATTCGCTTTGACGAAAGGCTAACGCTCGAAACGTCAGCTTTGACATTCTTTACGGTGATCAATTTTACTTTATCAACTCTCCCACTGACGCAGCACCACAGTTTCTTCAGAAATTTACCCTCTTTTTTCAAAACATTACTAAGTTTAAGAGCTATTTTTTGTTTATATCTTAATTCACACTGCAGCGCCATTCTTTGCTTTATTACAGTCTTGTGAAGGCGCTCCTTGCAAGAACGGTGCTGTCTGTGTTCCTGAATATAAAAGGAACACCTATCACTGTGAATGCAAGCCAGGATACGTTGGAACTATCTGCGAACAAAGAGGTGTGTCTTTAAATATATTTTAGTCAGTGTTATCGACGAACTCACGAAAACTAGAGGCAATTTCGAGTGCTCCTAATACATCGCAGCAGTAACAAATACATTTCGACTGTACCGAGAAATGTGTAGGTAAATTTGCAGGCCGTTTGTTAAAAAAAAACGGTACCGTATACAGCAGCTGACCAGATAAAGAAATAATTTTCCGACAAAAATGTATAGGAGCAGCACGAGAGGGGCCGTCTGAATGAATTAAAAATATTTTGGACAAAATCTCAGGTAGAGACAATGTATAAAGTGAAAAGTTCCTTAATTTTGGAAATTTCACAGTTTTCTTTTGGATAAGCGGTTGTTGCTATGGTTATTGTGATCAATTCTGTGGTCGGTAGATTTGGCTAAAAGGAATGACTATGATTGGCTGCTTCAACTATCTGATTACAGGTGTCCGATTACAGCCAACCGTCCGATTACATTATCCTATTACAAGTGCACAGAATGATTTGTGAAAAATATATCAGTCGATGCACCAATCACATTTGCGGAAATTGTAATGGTTATGATTTGGCTAGGTCTTACGTTTTTTCGAAATTATCGATTGATTCTTACGGCAGGATCAAAGGAACTGAGTGTACACAGTGTGTTTAAATGAGTATAGAAACATGAAATTAAAATGCCTTTAGCTCTATAAAACCTATAAGATGTGTGGAACAAAAGCGTGAGACAAGAAAACGAATTCAGTACCAAACCATCATATTCCGTGCTGCAATGAGTTTACCCTGAGCCTTCAGCTACAATGAACTGTGTGGTAAGCTACGCCGAGATTAGATTCATGTGTAATATGCGTTATGCGCCGTTCTAGGATCGGTAGTGTCGAAGGATCATGTCAGCAAGTCGATATGGAAAATGGTTACTTTAAGGCTGGGTCATGTTAGTGGTTAGTTTGGTGCCCAACGTTTCAGTTCATGGAATCAGATCAGAAGGTTGACACACTTTTGTGTTTAATCAAATAGGAAAGACATGCAGTGACATCAAATCTCACAGCTCACGTGCCGCTAGTGGTTCTTACGTAATAGACCCCGATGGAGAAGGTGGCTACGAACCTTTTACTGTGTTCTGTGATATGACGGATAAAAATAGAGTTGGCGTGACAGTTGTTGGTCACGATAGCGAGGAAAGAATGCTAGTTGATGGATATGATGACGAAGGGAGTTATGTTCGCCGCGTTCATTACACTGGAGCTGGGCTGTCAAGTGTTGCACAATTAGCTGGCCTGCCTGTTGCCTCTACCCATTGTGAGCAGTTTATTAAGTACGAATGCTATGGATCACTTCTGTTGCTCGATGGATTTGCTTGGTGGCATTCACGTAATGATGAAGCCATGAAGTATTGGGGAGGAGTTGCATCATCTAACATCAATAAGTGCGCATGCGGATTGAACGGGTCATGCGCAAATCCAAATCTGGGATGTAATTGTGATGCCAATGATGGCGTGTGGAGAGTGGATAGTGGCTTACTGACTGATAAGTCTGACCTTCCTGTGTTGCAACTGAAGTTTGGAGACACTGGTTTTGATGGGGCTGGAAGAGATGAAAAGGGGTATCACACTCTTGGAAAGTTTAAGTGCTATGGCATTGCTTAAGTTTTCCATGACTTTGTCAGTAATGTATAGGTCGCTTCTCTCCAAGTAATAGCATGAGTAATGCAAATAAGTAAGAAGAAAAACAAGTACTTTAAATGATTTTTTTTAACCTCAGAAAAAGGAATCGGTTGAATAGTTACGGCATTTTTATTATGTGTTCGTGCTTAGTTAAATTGCCCTCGGGACTTATGAATAAATTTCATTAATAATCCCTTTGTGTGGTCACCAGTTCATTAAAAATACCGCACACTTAAACATTTGACACAAATCAATTAATGCTAATTCCAAGAAGAAAATACTGGTTGAAATAGATAGGTCATTAACATCCTTATCGCAAATATGAGAGAAACTCTTCGACATTAATATGAAATGATTTATCCTAAACTGATGAATAAAGATGACGAGTTTCGTTGTATTCTGCGGTCTCTTGCATTATGTTTGAGAAATGTAAAAGATAATAAATATTTATGGCGTTCAAGGCAGAATTATTGCGTGCACAGTCCACACTTCAAGCCGGACGTTTGAAAACGAATTCAAGCGCGTTGTCTCCGACTTTTGATATGACTCTTTTTTGTCAAATTTGGCTGATGGCTTTCTTCCAAATCTTATTTATTTTTTCCATGATCGAGTATAGCTTTTATCGAAACACAAGAGGTAACCTCAATTTTGGTAAATTTAAGCGTGATCGCATTCATTACCTATGGGAAGAGAAACTAGCATCGTTCATGGTGGAAGATCAATTGGACTGCGCTTTCCTTTGTGATGGTGAATCAAAGTGTTATTCATTCAACATGGCAGCGTATCCTGACTCAAGAAGTAATTATCCTTTCTTGCCCTGACTCCAGTGGTCTTCATCTGTGTGAGTTTTTGGCCATTGACAAGTACAGCGTAACGGAGAAGCTTCAGGGAAATAATTCTTTCTATCATTTTAGCCTAGCGGTAAGAAAACAATAATTCTTCCAGGAGTTAATAAGATGCACTGAATGTTTTTTATTTTAAAATACTCAACGATACTAAATACCAAAACATCTAATAAAATATATTTATAACGATTCTGCTTACTCTATAGGGTTTTCTTCTACGAGAAAGCAAGTTACGTAAGAATTAGCGACAAAAGTGAATTTCAAAATTAATTAACAACTTTTTTGTTTAGCTGTTTTGTTCAATCAAATTTCACAAAGTCTCCATGCGACAGCGCTCCGTGCAAGAACCGCACTGTCTATGTTCCTGAGTACCAGTGAGACTCCTACCACTCTGAGTGTCACCCTGAATTTTGTGGCATCAACTGTGATCGCAAAGGTAGCAGGAATTGTGTAAAGTTTTCTAATGACCTGTCATTTTTGAGCTCTGGCTAGTGTAAAAGTAAGTCTTGTTCGACAGTTGCATTTTGATAAAATAACAAAAAAAGCACACTGTAAGGCTTGTGGGGTACATGCCGTCCTGAGGATGCCTTACGTATCCTAACGATAAGTTATCGGACAGGCTTCTGACGCTTGTAACATTTTCGAGGAGGATCTCAAAGAGACGACTTCAGGATGTGAAAGCTGTTAGCGAAAAACGTGTTTTGCCATACACAGTCAAAAATGAAATGCTAAAAGGGAATAATATGAAGTGTTAAACATTAATCGAAGTAAGGCTCGACAAAAAATGAGGCTCATTTCTATTGAACAGATTTGCAGCGCAGAATTTATTATTTCTGAAATCTTCGTGGGATCTTACGAAATCGTGATTGATTTAACACCCCTTCATTTCCCTTCCATCCCTTTTCCTTCTCTAACTTCACTCACTCCTTTTCTATAAATTACTGGACATTTCTGACAATTGAACGTGGGAATTATCCACATTATGGGAAGTGGTTTATGTAATTAAGAATCAACCAATTTCTCTGTAATCTTTTAGTTTGAAAGATCAATACAATCACAATTTGTGCCTTTTTGCTTCGGTAATGAAATTACGTTCTTTATCAACTCCAAGAAGTTGCTACCGCAACGCCACTTACTCTCAAAAGCACTCAGTACATGTTGCTTAAAAACGAGTTTGATGAACCTATTTTCACTGCCAAATTGCAACCAGCATACTAAGTTTTCTCCTTATGTCTAAAAAAAAACATGGATGCAGCAAAGGTTTTTATATTAGCCATGCAGTCAGATTGTTCAATTGTTGCTGTTGTTGTTTTTTTTAGTAAGTTTTTTCCAAATAAGAAACCTCAGTATAGAATACCAAACACTATGCGACAAATGTTTTTCAGCCTCCTAATTTCTTTCCTTTAATAAGAAGAGTAGCCGATTCTAAGCACCAGTTTCTTTTTGACTCCTTGGGTCGTCAGGAAAGCCGCTAATAAATGTTCGGAGACGATTGTGCGAAAGACTTGGGAGGTCCAAGAACTCATTGGTCAGCATGCACGAGCAAAACTGCTTGACAACAGCTTGACTGTCAGCTGGGGCCATATCAACTTTGAAGATCTCACTGGAGACATTAGCTGTGGAACGGACTTGTAACTTAATTACACTTTGCACATCAGTGACAGAAAAGACGATGAGAAAGAAGTCTAAGAAACTCCAGGAAATATGAAAACGCAGAAAATTCAGAACACCATTGTAATAGGCAGAGTGCACATCTCAGAAAGTTCTCACCAATAAATTAAATTTAAAGAAAACTTCTCTAGTAACTTTTATCAGCCCTATAAGTATATACTAATGCAGTGGATAGCGTTGGAGGCGCTCTCTGATTGGTTACACAAACTCCGAATATCCACCAACGCGGGCGTGTGATTTACGCCCGAAAACGTGGTAATCGTTGCAGGAATAAATGAGATAAAAATCATGTTTTTCTGTTGTATTATCTCACTGTTTCGGTATATACTTAAACAAATATTCGCCTCAGTTTCGGTGGCTGATGGTGGATCAGCTCGGTAAATATCTACCACCGGGTAAATATTTGTTAATCATTGTTATTGACAAGGCTTATAGCTATTTGTAGGACTTCTTCCCTTCCGATCATCGATACCAAATTAATTACGAGGTGCGGAAACTTATTTCATAACCGAATGCCTTAGGCTGTTCTTTCATTGAGCGACAGCATTTTTTTAATTGTAAAGTACGTAAGGCGTTTTTATTAAGTGTGAAAGTTTATTTCAAAGCAGAAATTGCGACAGTTATGGCTAAGAGCGAAGATTATTACAAAGTGTGACAGCTTTTATTATACAAGGTGCAACCAGCATTTCTTAGTACAAAGTGCGACAATTTGTGCAAAGAACTAAGATTATTACAAAGTGAGACAGCTTACTTATTACAAAGTGCGTCAGCTGTGTCATTACGAAAGAACGACAATTGTTGCCAAGAGCGAAGATTCAGTACAAAGTGTGACAGCTTTTTTATTAAAAGGTGCGGCAAACAATCTTATTACAGAGTGCGACAATTTTTATTAAAAATTAAAATGTCATTGAATGACCTTAACACGGTATTTATCACTTGTTTGTTGTCAATTATGCCCCAACAAGAAGGCTCAAGTCCGTTTTAAATCCACACAAGCACTAGGTCGGTCTTCTCGTCTGCTGCACCTAGGTTCTGGACTGATCTGAATCAAACCCGTTGGTCTTCCCTTATAATTCAGATTAAAGACTTTTCTTTTTAGAAGGGTATAAACCGCAACCAGCGTCATAATTTCAAATGTCTCGGAAATTTTACAGTGGTCTTAAGTATTCCAATTTTTGAAGCTTTATATATACTGGGTTTGTGAAGCCATGTGAAGCAGTGCTGAGTATACCACTATAGATATAACATTACTATGTGATCGGAGGCCGTGTTCGTTCATCCAATTTAGAATTAGGAAATATTTCAACCGAATAGTCTTTAATTTGTTTTCCACTGGAACGTTTGCACAAAGGCGGCCATTCCCACTGTGAGATATTACGGCAAAGAGGAACAAATGACGTTCCCTGTTAGAAAAATGTACATGTAAGTATCTAAATCATGGAAGAAGCAGGGGATTCCCTGTGGGGTGCCTCAAGGTTCTATTCTTGGTCCCTTATTTTTTATCCTGTATGTCAATGATTTGAACAATGCTTCCCTGCTTGATGCAATCTTGTTTGCTGATGATACAAACTTATTTATCTCCCATAACGATCCTGTTTACCTAATTAACACATTAAATAGAGAATTAAACAAATTGTCAACCTGGTTTGCAGCAAACCGGCTCTCCTTGAATTTAGCCAAGACTAATTTTATGGTATTCAAGCCTTGGCAAAAGAAGCAATCCTTTGAATTTCAAGTTTTCATAAATGAGCAGCCTATTCTTCGTGTTTCTGAGACCATGTTTTTGGGTGTTTTATTAGATGACAATTTGACCTGGAAATCGCATATATCCTTAACAGCAAATAAATTATCCAAATCTATAGGTATTATTCATAAATCTAGGTTTTTTCTCTCTACTCACTCCCTTCGTACTTTATACAATTCTATGATCCTTCCATATTTGTATTATTGCAATTTAGCTTGGGCTGGTACCTACAAGTCAAACCTTCAAAGAATTGTAACCTTACAGAAACGTGCGTTAAGAATAGTAAGCAATTCTACATACATTGCCCATACTGGCCCTATTTTAAAGGAACTTAAACTCTTAAAATTTCATGATATCCATTCGTTTCAATTAGGTACTTTTATGTTTTCATTCGAGAACTCTACACTCCCTTCCAAATTCAATAACTTTTTTTTACTAAATAGTCAAATCCACAATTATAATACTAGGAATGCTCAGTCCTTCCGTTTGCCACTGTGCAGAACGAACACCAGGAAGTTTTCAATTTACTTTCAAGGTCCAAACTTTTATAATTCGCTAAATTCTGACATAACTAGTTCTCCCTCCTCCGCTTCTTTTAAATGAAAGCTTAAGGAATTTCTTCTATCTAAGTATTAACTTCTGTAAGGCAGTAATTCTTAACTAACTTACTTAATATGTGTGTGCGTGTGTGTGTGTGTACGTGTGCGCGGTCAAAGTTAATTACCATAAGTCCATATTGTAATTCTAATATAAGATTAGTTATTTTAAGTGAGAAAGCCTGACTTGTTATAAGCCTCGTGGTTTCTTTCAGGTTTTCTCGCCATTTATTTTCTGTCATCAATTTTCTTCATTTTTTTTTTCCATCTGTAAATGTCGTATATGGCAAATAAATATTGTATATTGTATTGTATAGAAGCGGGAAGGTTTCCGTAAATGGAAAAATTGACATATAAGGTTCGCATGAAGCACGTACTCAACTCTCAATTAGGTAAAGAACCCTAATCACTGAATCAGACATGTAATAGTAAACTTTTAGACTAGCCATTACTTGATCAAACAAGCAGCGTCTCCGGTTCTCGCCTGCTACAGATATCTAACATTCGCCTCTCCACGGCATCTCTTTCGTGTATTATCCTTTGTCTTTTCCGCTCTATAATTTAAGAGAAAATGGGTTTTTACAATCTAATGGCATTCCTTTTAGCTCGTAGAACATGATAATAAGTATTTTAAGTTTTAAAGAGAAAATGGGGTTTATCACTATTAACTTAGTGCGTAGAACATATTCGTAAACGGACAATTTGACATAGAGTTTCTCCTGACCCATGTGCAAACTGGTGAATTATAGAATGAATCAAGAACTACAATTCCTGGATTTGGCACTTGATAGTAAATTGAGACTTTTCATTACTTGGTCATCGGGATCTCAGCCTAAAACGATGTGAGGAACTCTAACCAAAACGTATCACTTGCGTATCTCCTGCTACTGATATCTAGCGTTGCTTCTCTACGGCGTCTCTTTCGTTTATTTGTCTCTGTCATTTCTTCCTGACAGTTCAAAACACTACTTTCAAGAAAGATGTAACATTTGATCCAAAAAAGGCAACAATTATTTCTAAACGTCCCTGGTAATTTAACACTCAACACCTGTGTTTCCACCTCCACATAAGATAATTACCATTTCATTACCTTAGACAGTTACCACACTGTAAAATTATAGCAGGGCCTTCAACACAAGAAAGAAAGAACACCTCAGAAATGTGAAAACCGCGGCAAAAGACTCAAGAATTGCCAAAATTATACTTTGATAATGCATCTATTATTGACAAACCAAAACAATTATTTTTCTGTCCTTTGCCCGGACAATACAACATTCTTTTTAACAAACATTCTAGTTATCAGCATTTGTAATTTTTTACTTTGTACTTCACAACCCGTTGAAGGCTGTAGCGCAAACAGCCGAAAGCTCGTATTTTTTAAAAGTTTTAGCCAGAGATCGTTTTTCAAATTTTACAAGATGTTTTATCCTGGCTGCGGCCCCTCTATCTTTTCATGTAAAATTATAGTTCGAAACGAAAACAATTACTTTTCGTTTCAACTTAAGCTCTTCTGTCTAATGACGAATTCATTCAGGTGTTGTGGCCCAACGGCCACCATCATGCTGCTCCTGCCACTCTTGATATTTTTCCCTTCGTTACTTAACTTGATGTTTCCCATGCAGAACAGTGCTCTCTATCGAAATCAAACAGGTCACGGCGCCATCGGAAAATTTAGACGCGATCCCTTCCATTATTTAAGAGCAGAGAAAGTGACATCGTCCATGGTGGAAGATCACTTAGACTGCACTTTCCTTTGTGCTGGAGAATCAAAGTGTTATTCCTTTAACATGGCAGCGTATCCTGACTCCAAAAGTCTTTATCTGTGTGAGTTGTTGGCCACAGACAAGTACAGAGAAATCAAAAAGTTCACTGCAAATGCAACCTTCCATCATTACAGTTTATCGGTAGGAACTCTTTAGAAGGTTCCTTTTTCCCATATGAATGTGGATAATTTATTTATCTTAAAACACATCACTTACCATTGCTTTCTTCTTTGCATCTAAGGAGATAAGACCTGCAGTCAGATCAAGCAATGTAATCTCCCGAGTGGCACTTACGTCATCGACCCTGATGGAGGGGGTGAAGTGAAGCCTTTCAAGGTCTTTGGTAACATGACGGACAAAAACGGTGTTGGAGCGACAGTTGTCAGTCATGACAGTGAAAACAGAACACTGGTGGACGGGTTTAGTGACCCTGGCAGTTACTCACGCGATGTCACTTACCATGACACCAGTTTCCTTCAGCTGGCAGGTCTAACAGCTTCATCCGATCAGTGTGAGCAGTTCATAATGTACGAGTGCGACCAATCAGTACTCCTTCTCTTTGGTCGAAAGTCCTATGGCTGGTGGGTGTCACGTGACGGCGAAACTATGAAGTACTGGGGAGGAGCTGATTCTGTTGACGACAAGTGCGCATGCTGCTTGAATTCTACATGCGCAGACATCAAATACGATTGTAACTGCGACAAAGGGGGGCAAATTTGGCGAAATGACAGCGGTTTAATCAAAGACAAATCCAAGCTTCCCGTGAAGCAACTGAGGTTTGGAGATACCGATTCAAATGCTGATGATAAGGGATACCATACACATGGAAAGCTGAAGTGTTTTGGACTCATCTAAGACTCGTACACAATATAATACACTGTAACTGTATACCAACGATATGTAGACTGGCCTGATCTATCATCTTAAAGTTTAACTTTGTCTTTAAAGGCGGTTAGTTTCTTTATGCAAAAGAAATCAATAAATTGATTTTAACGTCAAGTGAAAACCATCCTAGTTTGGACAGATGTCCTTTGCGCAGTAGAATATTTTGGTGCCAAAAGCTCATTTTTCCATTTTTAGAGGTGAAAAGATGGAAAAAAAACGCGAAATCACTGCACCATAAAATATTTTACCGCAATATCGCTTTTAGTTTGTCTAGCAGAGTAAAAGTGGATTAATTTGATTGAGTTTGAGGCCTTTGGTGATGTCAGATGATTAAAATGCGATTTACCAAGCAGAAAAATAAAAAGCGATTAAGAGATACTCAATCCTGAGTTTTAACTGTATCGTCATGGTTTATTTGGTCCACAAAGCAGTTTTAAGACGAAGTTATAAATGCTGTGAAAATGATTTGTAAATGTAAAAAATCACTCAAATCCTCTGCCTATCGATGATCGCAAAGTCACTATGTGGATGGATTCTTCTCGCCTATCAAGGACTGTTATTTCTTCATAGTCGCTCTATTGCAGCTGAAAAAGTCTAAATTGCCGGCAACGTCACTGCAGCACTTCATAGGAAGAAGTAGCGGAGAATACGGTGAAATAACCTGATGATAAATATGAGCATGCGCAATAAGTATAACCTGCCTTGGTGCTGACGTTTATGGCGCGGTAATCGGCGCCCTCAACTCCGCGTGCTCGTTGCCTGCGGGCATCCACCTCACACTTCAGACGCAAAATTCACTTTAATGAAGGGGAAGGCATAAGCACGATGCCTTTAAGAAATAGAGCGTGATATTTATTGACTTAGGGAAAAAAAAAAACAGAGAGACTACGCTTTATCCCGATCATCGTGATTAAATGACAAAACAGGCTTAAAGTAAGGCTGGTGCATGTCAAATGACGGCGAGAACATGAAGTACTAGGGAGGAGCTGATTCTTCTGACTACAAATGCGAATGCAGCTTGAACAATGCATGTGCAGACAATTATTACGAGAGCAACTGCGACAACGAAGACCTTAGCTGATAAAACGATAGCGGTTTACTCACAAACAAATCCATGCTTCCCGTCAAGGAACTGAGGTTTGAGGATACCGGTCATGTTGATGAAAAGGGATACCACACACTTGGAAAGCTGAAGCGTTTTTGACTTATTTAAGATTCATAAATCCATAAACAGTAAAAAAGAGAAAATTGGTAGTTTTTCTATGCGTATAGGAGATTGTTATACACAATCAGAAGTGCCGAAAGCACAATTTTCTGTTTTTAGAAGTAGGAAAAAAAGAGAGGAAGAAGAGGTAACGCGAAATCATTCCACCTCAAAAGGTTTTTGGTCTCCATTGTTATATTGCAATTTAGTTCGTCAAGTGGAATTAAAATGGATCGACTTGTTGGTATTCGAGAACTATTTAATTCTTGGTGCTATATGATTAAAATGAAATCTACCGAGCGGAAAACAAAAATAAAATTATGAGATACTCCATCCCGAGTTTCTGTTGATCTTTATTGTATCGACCTGGCTTATCTGGTCTTACTACGGCGAGAGTTATTATAGTATTGTCTTCAAACCTAAGCGTAAATATAATCATCACGCAGGGTGTGGATAACCCCGTTTCCCATGTGAGTCTCACAACCTTCTGATATTTGCAGTTTACGATAAACAAAGTTATTTATATTTTCCATTGAGCATTGGACACTCGTTGGAAGAGAATCCCTCCGGAGTTTAAGACAAATGACGCAACTGTCCTGCATCAACAAATAATTGGAGAGCCCCATTCAAGCTGAACTGTTGGTGAGCTCTTGTCACCCTCTTGAGAATTTACAATTAATGAAAACAAATCAGAGACATGACATCTTCCAAAAAAAAAGGAACAGATAATGGTGGAATAAAACAAATCAGAACAAATAAATCGCTGATGATTTAACTACCTGGTTGTATGACAAGTTTACATGAGTTTCCTTGATCAATCTTGTAATTCTCCTGTCAACTGCAATACACTTACCTGTGAGTTAGATGGAAGAGTTTGGCTTCACTTAAATGATAACATTCCTCTAACGGATGCAATTGTTAAATTTTTACTTCTGCTCTTGCATGGATAACGAGCTGAAATTATAAGCAGAAGTTAATTAATGAATTAATTGATTTTTTTTCTCCTTTGGCGGGTAGTTGCTGTCAGTATCTTTACGCATCGAGTTCCCATGATCTCACGAGCTGTATGACCTTAATGCGATTACATGGAAAATTGCAACAGTTCTTAAATCATGACACTCGTGGTAGATCGGTATAGCATCTGAAAAGCCCAGACCATGTGCACATCATTTAAGCTCCCCAGGACTGGGCTTTCTCGGCAGCAGCACAAAGGTTATGAACTGATTACCTGATAATTTAGAATCGATTCATTGGTTCTCGTTCTTAATTTATATCAAAGACATCTCTTTAAAACAGTCTAAATTACGTATATTCCAAATGTCTCCGACATTTTGATGCATTCAACTTGTCATACATTCGAAGCGGAAAGGGAAGGCGGTTTCCCTGTTGATTTCTCATTTATTTTCTTATTTCCAAAGTTGCATTAATCACTGATTTCTGAGAAATCCAATTCTTTTAGACTATGAGCAGTCCCTTCCTTTCGGTAAAGTCCGTCGCGTGAGTCCAAAAAAGATCAGTGAAAAAAAAAATTGATGTTAGAGCACCGGGGAAGGTCTGGAAATGAGGCACTTGACTCTCGCTGCGCAGCTTACGGAGGTTCACGTCTCGAGAGAAAGCCAGCGATTAATTCATGAAAGCGTCACGCGTTGTGTGACTTGGTGTTAAGTTGCGAGGGGAACCGTTTAGAATTTGACACGCTATAAGGAACAGTATGGTGAACGATACATGGTCGATTTACAACGATAAATGTTTCGAAATATGAAAATTTTACATATAAAATCAATAGCACTTACTCACATCTTGTGTCCGCTGTGGTTTCTGGCGGTTTCTGCCGTTTAAAGCTTCCTTTTCCATTATTGTCATTCCTGTCAAAAGACGAAGTCCCCATACTATTCTTTATAACGCGTTAAAATTCTCCACGATTCCTATCGTTACTTAACACCGAGTCACACAACGCGTGACGCTTTCATGATTAATCGTTTGCTTTTTCTCGAAACGCGAGCTTAGGCCACCTGTGGTTTCACCTGTGTTTTATGCATTATTCATTTGTGTTTATTTTGGCGATGTATGGGATCGATGGTGATTTTCATTGTTTCAAAAATAAATTCCTTTCTGTTTTAATTAAAGCCATCTAAAAAGATCTCATTGTGGCTGTAATTCTTTGAAAGAAAGAATTATCCAGACACGACATGCTGTTGAAAAATTATTGATTTATGTGCAGTAAAACGTGATTTAGAATTATTTTTGTAAATAGTTTCACGAAGAGGATGAAAACTCAACATCAAACTTAACAGCTCATTATTTTGAAACAGCAAGGTTTAATTTGCAAACATTCACCGGCTGAGATGCCTTATATCAAGAAAGAAAAATCCTCAGGTTTTAATTAATTTTTATGGAATTAACGAGACCTTCGACCAAAACTGTTAAACAGGATTTGCCATAACATTAGCATAATAAAAGCGATCACATTACCACGCCCGCCCACTTTTTCGAACTTTTATCCTTCGGTCAACATGTTTGAAATGGTTCGACTGCAAAGGGGGAAAGATAGCTTTTGGGGGCTTTGAAGATATAATTGGTAGGCTTCTCGGAAAACTGTTTCCAGCCACCTTAATGACTTCACACAAGGGGGTATTTCAGGGATTTAGTATACCAACTGCTCGAAAACAATATAAATAATGTTTTTCTATATTCCACAAATAAAATATGTGCATATTCGTGAATTTTGAACACATTGTGGAAGGTCACAAACTTGCCTACTTTTGATCACGTGATTTCTTATACATATCGAAAGCTCATTCATCTGAACTTAACATCGTAAGCCTGAGTCGTCTCAGGGTAAATGCGAGCCATTTCTGAAAAATAGCCAGCTTTTCTCTTCTCTTCTTGTTCTCAGCATGATGTTACCCAAATATAGAGTAGTAGGTGAACTTTTTTAATGAATATTTTCTAGTGAATTTTGAAAAAATATTTACCGTTTTCGGTAAATTATTGTCTGCCGCATTAGTTTACATGTATGTATCTCACGCAATGTACAGATCACAGAGCTGCAATGAGCTCAAAGGGAATTTGTACATTCTACATTACAAATGTCATTTCATGTTTTCGTAAGAAGAGGTTATAATGTTCTTTTTTATCGACATATGCAATATCAAACCCGTCTATTTATTTTCGCGCGGCTCTATTTCCTTTCCTTATTTGACGTGGTACAAAATCCACGGACAGTTATCAGGCCATAACCTTATGTTGATATTTGTCCGATTATTTCCGTCGAAAAGCAAGAAAGCCAACGAAAAAAGCCCAACAGTTTCACCTTCTCGACTTTGTTACATTACAAGGGCGAAAATCTCATTTTACAGCGTTCACAGGTGTTGGGAATTAAAGACTGGTCTCAAATGCTGCTCTGGAAAGTACAAAGAAGTTAACAAAACTTTGCTTTAAAACCACGATACGAAAAATAATGGGAAGAATATAAAATCAATATTCTCCCTTCTAGCTTGCTGGCATGTCGCCTGATGATGCCCTTGGCTGAGAGGTCCTCAAAATCTCAAATCTACTCTCGAAGCTTTGCTTTTCGGCCGCCGATTCAATTTTTTCAGCCGTGAACATTATTAGCCGTCATACCAAACGCCTGAATGTGTTTTTTTTTTAAATTATTTCCGCCAGCTCTCGAAATTTCGTAATTCAAACATGCGTTGCACCTGCCCCATAAATGGGATTTAATCATAAAAAGCAAACAATACCATAAAAGGATAAGTTTCTTTTTCACAATTAAAGTGCTTTATATCTTAAAGCATCTCATTCAGGTGTTGTCGTCCAACGGCCACCATCATGCTGCTCCTGCCACTCTTATTATTTTTCCCTTCGTTGCTTAACCTGATGTTTGCCAATAGTGCTCTCTATCGAAATCCAACAGGCAAAATTTCTCTCGGTAACTTTAAGTGCAACCCCTTCTATTACCTTTGGGAAGAAAAACTTACATCGTCCATGGTAAAAGGTCAGTTTTTCTGCGCTTTGCTTTGTGTTAATGAACCGAGGTGCTATTCGTTTAACGTGGCAGAGTATCCTGACTCCAATGGTCTTTATCTTTGTGAGTTGTTGGTCACTGACAAGTACAGAGCTACTGGAAAGCTCTTTGCAAATGCCACATTCCATCATTTTAGTCCTTGGGTAAGCTCTCCTTGCATACTTGGTGATTGAAAGGTATTTTTATCAATAGAAATTGTACTGTTTGTGGAACGTTCTCGGTCTATTTTCAGTCTCCATGTGAAAGCGCTCCCTGTAAGAACGGTGGTGTCTGTGATCCTAATTATGAGTGGAACTCCTATCACTGTGAATGTAAGCCTGGATTCTGCGGAACTCACTGCAAACGAGGAGGTATAAAACAGTTCGTGTGCTTTTTTTGTTTTATTTTTTTTTTCAGATGTTGAAAATTACATTTGCAGAGGGTTTTGATTCAATTTTTTTTGTGATTGGTCATTTTCACTGAATCGTTTACAACTTTAGCTTCTTCAGAGCTCTACATACCTCTTAAGTGCTTCACATCCAGATAAACACACAGCTGCTGCGATAGAGCATTATTCACGTAAAAGTTTGCTACGTTTCATTGCGTACTGTACGTCATTATTATGTACAATGGAATACGAAGCACGCTAATGATTGTACACGGATTCTCTGACGAAATGTAATCCTTCCCATTAAAACCCCCATGAGTTTAATCAGATGCCAAGAACGCATTAAATAAGATAAACTCAATTATAATCAATTTCTACTTTTTTGCTTTCAAGGAGATAAAACCTGCAGTCAGATCAAACTATGTAATCTCCCAAGTGGATCTTACGTCATCGACCCTGATGGAGAGGGCGGAGTGAAACCTTTCAAAGTCTATTGTAACATGACTGACAAGAACGGTGTTGGAGTGACAGTTGTCAGTCATGACAGTGAAGGGAGGAAGTTGGTGCGAGGGTTTCGTGCCAAAGGCTCTTATTCTCGCTCCATCAATTACACGGAGGCTGATATGGCTCAACTGGCAAACCTGACAGCTTCATCAGCTCACTGTGAGCAGTTTATAAAGTACGAGTGCTACAACTCACAGCTCCTCTCCAATGGTAACATGTACGGCTGGTGGGTGTCACGTGATGGAGAGAAGATGAAGTACTGGGGAGGAGTTGATTCTGTTGATTACAAATGCGCATGCGGCTTGAATAATACATGTGCAAACATTAACCGCGGATGCAACTGTGACGCGAATGGCCCCACATGGCGAGAGGACAGCGGCCTCCTCAAAGACAAATCCAAGCTGCCAGTGAAACAACTGAGGTTTGGAGATACCTATTATTATAGCGACAGGGGATACCACACACTTGGAAAGCTCAAGTGTTTTGGACTCATTTAAAACTCACATACAAAAAAGTGCATTGTAACTATACACTTGCTTTTTGTAGACTCGGTTGACATACCGCCTTAAAGCAACTAGCTGTCTGTACAATTGCCTTTTGCAGTTCGCTTTTTGCGATCGAAATCGACGAAACAATTTTGATATGAAGTGAAAACCACCCTAATTTCGACACATATCGTATGCGTAGTAGATTATTATACATTCCTATAAGTGCCAAAGGCCTTTCTTCTACTCATAGAAGGGAAGAAGAATGGAGAAGGAAGAAGTGCGAGGCACCGAGCGGGATCACTTCACCTGAGAAGATTGTTTCGCTTTCCACCGATATCTCACAATTTGGTTCATCTAGCAGAGTTAAAAACTTTGATTGTATTTGCGACCTTTTAGGCCTTTGGCAGCATAAGATTTAAATGAAAATTTCCCCTTGGAAATGCAAAAAAGCCAAAAAGAGTTACCCAACATTTAACTGTATCGGCGTGTTTTGCCAAAAGAAAGGAAAAGCTTGACCCTCAACCTAAGGTTTATATTATATTGTACGCAGCAATACATCAACAAGCAAGATGATTCAGATTTTTTCTGTTAGCCTAAGACGCTCGTTGGTAGAAAGTCCCTTTGCTTAGAGTAAACAGCGCAAGTGTACGGAGAAAACAGTATTTAAAACCTTTAATGTGTTTGGTTGAATCTTCTATTCAACGAAAACTGAATGAAATACTCCTTCGAGACTCGCGCGTGGTGTCATTTGAGCAAGGGGTTTCCTAACATCTTCAAAGGAAGTCAAACATATTACTTGTGATGGAGTGAATGAAATCATCTCACAAATATCAGTCGGAAGGTGAGAAATGTTTGGTTCTGATATATAGCGCATATGTTTTAGCATATTAAGCATAATTTTGGGCGCCCAGGGCCCATTTTCGCTGTTTATAGTTTTGAGACAGAGATTGTTAACAGTATGACAATATAATACACTGTAACTGTATACCAACGATATGTAGACTGGCCTGATCTATCATCTTAAAGTTTAACTTTGTCTTTAAAGGCGGTTAGTTTCTTTATGCAAAAGAAATCAATGAATTGATTTTAACGTCAAGTGAAAACCATCCTAGTTTGGGCAGATGTCCTTTGCGCAGTAGAGTATTTTGGTGCCAAAAGCTCATTTTTCCATTTTTAGAGGTGAAAAGATGGAAAAAAAACGCGAAATCACTTCACCATAAAATATTTTACCTTTCCATCGCAATATCGCTTTTAGTTTGTCTAGCAGAGTAAAAGTGGATTAATTTGATTGAGTTTGAGGCCTTTGGTGATGTCAGATGATTAAAATGCGATTTACCAAGCAGAAAAATAAAAAGCGATTAAGAGATACTCAATCCTGAGTTTTAACTGTATCGTCATGGTTTATTTGGTCCACAAAGCAGTTTTAAGACGAAGTTATAAATGCTGTGAAAATGATTTGTAAATGTAAAAAATCACTCAAATCCTCTGCCTATCGATGATCGCAAAGTCACTATGTGGATGGATTCTTCTCGCCTATCAAGGACTGTTATTTCTTCATAGTCGCTCTATTGCAGCTGAAAAAGTCTAAATTGCCGGCAACGTCACTGCAGCACTTCATAGGAAGAAGTAGCGGAGAATACGGTGAAATAACCTGATGATAAATATGAGCATGCGCAATAAGTATAACCTGCCTTGGTGCTGACGTTTATGGCGCGGTAATCGGCGCCCTCAACTCCGCGTGCTCGTTGCCTGCGGGCATCCACCTCACACTTCAGACGCAAAATTCACTTTAATGAAGGGGAAGGCATAAGCACGATGCCTTTAAGAAATAGAGCGTGATATTTATTGACTTAGGGAAAAAAAAAAACAGAGAGACTACGCTTTATCCCGATCATCGTGATTAAATGACAAAACAGGCTTAAAGTAAGGCTGGTGCATGTCAAATGACGGCGAGAACATGAAGTACTAGGGAGGAGCTGATTCTTCTGACTACAAATGCGAATGCAGCTTGAACAATGCATGTGCAGACAATTATTACGAGAGCAACTGCGACAACGAAGACCTTAGCTGATAAAACGATAGCGGTTTACTCACAAACAAATCCATGCTTCCTGTCAAGGAACTGAGGTTTGAGGGTACCGGTCATGTTGATGAAAAGGGATACCACACACTTGGAAAGCTGAAGCGTTTTTGACTTATTTAAGATTCATAAATCCATAAACAGTAAAAAAGAGAAAATTGGTAGTTTTTCTATGCGTATAGGAGATTGTTATACACAATCAGAAGTGCCGAAAGCACAATTTTCTGTTTTTAGAAGTAGGAAAAAGAGAGAGGAAGAAGAGGTAACGCGAAATCATTCCACCTCAAAAGGTTTTTGGTCTCCATTGTTATATTGCAATTTAGTTCGTCAAGTGGAATTAAAATGGATCGACTTGTTGGTATTCGAGAACTATTTAATTCTTGGTGCTATATGATTAAAATGAAATCTACCAAGCGGAAAGCAAAAATAAAATTATAAGATACTCCATCCCGAGTTTCTATTGATCTTTATCATATCGACCTGGCTTATCTGGTCTTACTACGGCGAGAGTTATTACAGTATTGTCTTCAAACCTAAGCGTAAATATAATCATCACGCAGGGCTGGATAACCCCGTTTCCCATGTGAGTCTCACAACCTTCTGATATTTGCAGTTTACGATAAACAAAGTTATTTATATTTTCCATTGAGCATTGGACACTCGTTGGAAGAGAATCCCTCCGGAGTTTAAGACAAATGACGCAACTGTCCTGCATCAACAAATAATTGGAGAGCCCCATTCAAGCTGAACTGTTGGTGAGCTCTTGTCACCCTCTTGAGAATTTACAATTAATGAAAACAAATCAGAGACATGACGTCTTTCAAAAAAAAAGGAACAGATAATGGTGGAATAAAACAAATCAGAACAAATAAATCGCTGATGATTTAACTACCTGGTTGTATGACAAGTTTACATGAGTTTCCTTGATCAATCTTGTAATTCTCCTGTCAACTGCAATACACTTACCTGTGAGTTAGATGGAAGAGTTTGGCTTCACTTAAATGATAACATTCCTCTAACGGATGCAATTGTTAAATTTTTACTTCTGCTCTTGCATGGATAACGAGCTGAAATTATGAGCAGAAGTTAATTAATGAATTAATTGATTTTTTTTCTCCTTTGGCGGGTAGTTGCTGTCAGTATCTTTACGCATCGAGTTCCCATGATCTCACGAGCTGTATGACCTTTATGCGATTACATGGAAAATTACAACAGTTCTTAAATCATGACACTCGTGGTAGATCGGTATAGCATCTGAAAAGCCCAGACCATGTGCACATCATTTAAGCTCCCCAGGACTGGGCTTTCTCGGCAGCAGCACAAAGGTTATGAACTGATTACCTGATAATTTAGAATCGATTCATTGGTTCTCGTTCTTAGTTTATATCAAAGACATCTCTTTAAAACAGTCTAAATTACGTATATTCCAAATGTCTCTGACATTTTGATGCATTCAACTTGTCATACATTCGCAGCGGAAAGGGAAGGCGGTTTCCCTGTTGATTTCTCATTTATTTTCTTATTTCCAAAGTTGCATTAGTCAGAAATCCAATTCTTTTAGACTATGAGCAGTCCCTTCCTTTCGGTAAAGTCCGTCGCGTGAGTCCGAAAAAGATCAGTGAAAAAAAAATTGATGTTAGAGCACCGGGGAAGGTCTGGAAATGAGGCACTTGACTCTCGCTGCGCAGCTTACGGAGGTTCACGCCTCGAGAGAAAGCCAGTGATTAATTCATGAAAGCGTCACGCGTTGTGTGACTTGGTGTTAAGTTGCGAGGGGAACCGTTTAGAATTTGACACGCTATAAGGAATAGTATGGTGAACGAAATATGGTCGATTTACAACGATAAATATTTCGAAATATGAAAATTTTACATATAAAATCAATAGCACTTACTCACAGCTTGTGTCCGCTGTGCTTTCTAGCGGTTTCTCCCTTTTAAAGCTTCCTTTTCCATTATTGTTATTCCTGTCAAAAGACGAAGTCCCCATACTATTCTTTATAACGCGTTAAAATTCTCCACGATTCCTATCGTTACTTAACACCGAGTCACACAACGCGTGACGCTTTCATAATTAATCGTTTGCTTTTTCTCGAAACGCGAGCTTGGGCCACCTGTGGTTTCACCTGTGTTTTATGCATTATTCATTTGTGTTTATTTTGGCGATGTATGGGATCGATGGTGATTTTCATTGTTTCAAAAATAAATTCCCTTCTGTTCTAATTAAAGCCATCTAAAAAGATCTCATTGTGGCTGTAATTCTTTGAAAGAAAGAAGTATCCAGACACGACATGCTGTTGAAAAATTATTGATGTATGTGCAGTAAAACGTGATTTAGAATTATTTTTGTAAATAGTTTCACGAAGAGGATGAAAACTCAACATCAAACTTAACAGCTCATTATTTTGAAACAGCAAGGTTGTTTTATGATTTTTTATAATTTGCAAAAATTCACCGGCTGAGATGCCTTATATCAAGAAAGAAAAATCCTCAGGTTTTAATTAATTTTTATGGAATTAACGAGACCTTCGACCAAAACTGTTAAACAGGATTTGCCATAACATTAGCATAATAAAAGCGATCACATTGCCACGCCCGCCCACTTTTTCGAACTTCTATCCTTCGGTCAACATGTTTGAAATGGTTCGACTGCAAAGGGGGAAAGATAGCTTTTGGGGGCTTTGAAGATATAATTGGTAGGCTTCTCGGAAAACTGTTTCCAGCCACCTTAATGACTTCACACAAGGGGGTATTTCAGGGATTTAGTATACCAACTGCTCGAAAACAATATAAATAATGTTTTTCTATATTCCACAAATAAAATATGTGCATATTCGTGAATTTTGAACACATTGTGGAAGGTCACAAACTTGCCTACTTTTGATCACGTGATTTCTTATACATTTCGAAAGCTCATTCATCTGAACTTA